TTTTTTTTTCCCTTCAAAATGAGCTCTTGTTTGTTTATGGGAGGTCTGCAAGTCGTCTATTCCATGAAATGACAAAGTTGCCCTCACGTTTTATTTCATGGTATTTTAATATTTTTGTTGGTTTGGGCCTTTGGGGCTTGAGTGGATACGGGTTATGATTAATCATTTTCTTTTTTTTTTTTACTAAAAGTTTAACTTAAATTTTTTGTAACTCAAACTCTCGTCAATATTATCAATGTAATTAAGTAATATGAATCATCATACATCAAATTAATTTAATTCACCATTTATTTGCTCACAGTTTTAATACTCATCACTCTCAATTACATCTCTCATATTTTTGTAATTGTAATGTTCATCAACCCAGTCATATCTTCCTATTTTAATAATTTTAATGATCATCCCTTTGATTTACATCTATCATCATACTTTTAAATCACATCAATGTTGAATTGAAGGAGAATTTTGTGGAGAAAATAACTTCATTTCAGGCTCTGTTTCTTAGCTAAAAAAAAGTTTCACGCAGTACACGTTGAGTATGCATCATTATATACACGTTTACAAGCAAATGTGTTGCTTCTAAAACAACTTATTTAACGAAGTAAAACGATGTCGTTCGAACTAATGCAGAGTAAAAGAAAACTCAAACATAAAAGTACTTTACTGAATATGTCAGCGAATTGCATTCGAGAAGATACAAAATATTGGCTTAACAAACCCGACCTCGTATTGATCCCTCACAAAATGGCAGTCAATCTCCAAATATTTCATTCTCTCATGAAAAACAGAGTCAGCACAGCTAGTGTTAATCATTAACCTAAAGGGTTATGTCAAATTTTGAATTATGACATTTTAAAATTAGTATTTTCAATAGTTGAATTGATTGACAAGAGTTAATTAAATAATTTTTGTGTTTAATAAAATTTAATTTTGATTAGATGTTGATTTAAGAAATATAATAAATTAGTCAATTGTATTGATTAATTGAGCTTGGATAAATAGTTCAGTAATTGTTGAAATCACTAAATTTATAGTTGAATTTAAAAGTTTGACTTTACGTTCAAATCCACAAATTAACATGCTTGTTTGATTAGAAGCCCACATAAGAAAGGGGATGTTTTTATTTTACAAGACATAACAAAGGGAAAATAGGATATCGAGTGTTGAGAAATTAACTAAAAAAAAATGATGAAATTTCAACGAATTTTTTAATGAAAATATATTTTAATTGACTCCAATGAAAATTCTAAGAATATTCCGTTGGAATTGGTTTTTCATGGGAATTTCTTTTGGATTTTGACGATTCCAACAATAAATTTTACAACGGGGAGGAAATAAAAATTCCAACGGAAATTCATATAGTAAAAGTTCGCTGGAAAAATAGTCGTTGGTAATCATCAAATTCCATCTAAAATTTCAACGGAAAACTCATTCCAACGAAATATTTTTGTTCGAATTACCGTTGGAACCATTCCAACGAAAATTATACCATTGGATTATCCGTTGGTATTTTCATTGAAATATATTACTGTAGGATTTCCCCTTGGAATATACCAAGTTTTGTGTAGTGATTAGTTTTCGAATCTTTTGGTTATTATCTTTTAACTAGTACTTAACTCGTGCGATGCACGGATTGTATTTATTAATAAATAAAGTAGTGATATTGCGTAAGTAGATTGTCAACTCATAAAATACTCATCATGAAAAAATAATATATTATTAAGAACCTCATTGAACACTATTATTAGTTTGGTTACTTGGCAACTCATTGTCCCTAAAAACTAATATTTTAAACTCATTTATATTACTTACAGGCAAAACAACAACACATAATAGGTGTGACTAAAAACTAATTTATTTAATAAAAGGTCAACGTACGGTAAAAACTGACGATGACTTTTATTTATTGTGATGGCATACAAAACTATAAGTAAGAACCGATGTCGTTGGAACTTAAATGTAACTCTAAGAGCATAATGATCTATTTAAAATATGATAATTTACCTGACAGTTTATTGTGACGGCATACAAAATTATAAGTAAGAAACGATGCCGTTGGAACTTAAATGTAACTCTAAGAGCATAATGATCTATTTACAATATAATAATTTACCTGACAGTTCGATAACAACTTTTCATTTTAATATCGATTATACTTAAGTAGCTAAATAATATTTATTATTATTTTTATGATTTATATTTTATATAAAAGAACATTAAACATGTATGTTTAAAATATTAAACACCTAAAATATTATATAACATGTGTAATTATACATTAATTCACGTTAATTTTTTCAAATCGAACAATTTTTAACTGGACAACTGCCCCATTATATTATATGTATGAAAATTA